TATAATTTGTTTTGTACCTAATATTGAGTGAATTGTATTGGTCGACAATTTGACCTCTCTTTTTTCAATTATCAGAGAGTGCTACTGCTACTTATCTTTGAAATGAAATTATGATTGATGCTCCAAAAATGCTGCAAACCGGGTTGATGAATGTTGTGTTCCATATATTTGTACCACAATACGTAATACTCGTGCGAAAATGTATTTGTACAGAATGACTGACTTATTACATATACAATAAAACTGCAAAATCTACAGCACAGCGGGAAGAATACAACAATCGTTTATTTTTTTTTATTTTTTTTCAACATAGTAACTTCGAAATTGATACCTAAGGCCTATTCATATACATTAAGAGGATATATATACAAACATAGATTTCCTATGAACGAGGTTTACTCCTTGTTGCTGGACGAGCGGTCCTTCTTGGGCCCACCAAGAATACGAGATATCTGCAAACCTCTGCTGAAAGCTTGGTTGAACAGCATACGAGTTTGGAATTCAGACACAAACGGGAACCATGCCAAGAATGCGACTGGAGTGAATAGTAATAATCCGATTATTATTTCGTAAACTCGTGCAAGCGTCCTAATTGATCCCCAGAATCCACCACGAACCACTAATGGTTTCAAAGCTTGTGCAATCTGTTATGTTTTATTTATTGAGAAATAACAAGGAAAATCAACACAAGGAATTTTATTCGCTATTAGAGAAACTTCTCAAAGTTGACAATATATATATATATATATATATGGCTTCACTTTACGGGTATAGAACAATTTCTTACCAGTAGTAGCCCCCATCCTGTAGGCATAAATGCAAGAATGCAGACTATAACATCAACGAATGTCATGTGAAGAAGAGCTATTAAGGTGATCAATACAGCTACAAATGAAAGAAAAAGGAGGCCCTCGATCAATCGGAACACGAGTTGGAAATCAGCACTAAACCGTCTCCTTCCAACAGAAAAAACCTGCAAAAATTTTAGCATACTTCATTTAGTACATGGGACAAAGGGAAATCCGATTTTCTTTAATAGTTCAACTTCTCTGAAGGAAATTAGCATATAGAACATCTTCAAATGCACTGACAAATTTCACCCTACTGCAAACACAATTAAATGTCTGAGTTAAGGCAAGAAAAAAAGAACCAACTACAAAAACAGCGATTTCATGAAAAAACGGGATGCTATCTCATTTTGTTGTATATGATGGATGCTTTGGTATTCATTGGAATTTTGAACGTTTGATGCTATCTCATTTTGTTGTATATGATGGATGCTTTGGTATTCATTGGAATTTTGAACGTTCAAAATATAGTTGGGCAATATGATCGGCAGAACACGTCATGAGAGAGAGAGAGAGAGAGAGGAGCTCAATAAGAATAATTTACTAGAGTCCCGACCTTCAAAATTAGTAGGACTGCGAAGATGAATAACCACGATAGACCATACACCTGCACAAGAAGCAACATTTTATTGAGGGCAAATGAATTTTAAGTCATATTGGTTTAACATTATAGCAATTTTAGTCCCAATGTTCCAACTTTTCGCCTTTTGGTCATGTGATTTAATATTTTGCTGCAATTTCAGTCCTCTGAGGACTGCAATTGCAACAAAATTTTAAATTACATGACTGAAATTGAAATAAAGTTTTAAATTACAAGACATAAATTGCTAATCAAAACTCCATCCCGAAAATATAAATTGGGAATTTGTTGCAATTCAGTCGCAAAATATTAAATTACATGACCAAAAGGCGAAATGTTAGAATCTTGAGACTAAAACTGCTATGATGTTCAATCAGCAAGAGTAAAAAACTTAAAAAATAATAATAATAGAAAAAAAATACATACCAAGAAGCTCTTGTCAGAAGTGAAGCTTAGATGATACGTCAACCCGAACTGATATATAAAAAACCGCAACGACAGCAATATCTCGAAAACGATCCCGCGCGTCCCGGAATGCGACAGATGCTCGTGCTCCTTCTCCCACCACGACTCCCAGCTCTTCTCCGGCGGCACTCCGATCCCACCCCTATTATTCATCCACTTATTCCAATCCGTCCAATCATCCACAATCTTTTGCCACTCGAATCCCGACGGATTAAACAAGAAAGGCGCAAAAAGCCACGTCCCCACCAAAAACCATATCGAGACCGTAATAAAAACGTAAGCCGCCACTCCGCGGTACGCCCGACCAAAGATGTGGTACACGATTAGCAAGATCATGAGCTCAATCCCTTTGACAAAGTGGCTTCGTGAGTAGAGACGGTAGTTGTCGGCAAAACGGGCGTGAAAGACGACGAAGCCGCGGCCGGTTCCTCTGTAGCGGGCCCCACCGTGGAGTATGGTGCGGCCAAAGTAGTGGGTTCGGGTGCCGAGGGAGAAGGTGAAGAAGACGGACGCCAGCTGGAGCTGCATGAGGACGAAGTCGGTTAGGGCGTTGCGGAAGCCGCGCTCGAGGCCGATCTCCATCATCATGGGGAGGGCCATTAGGAAGCCGATCTGGACGAACGATTGGGAAGCGAGTGCCACCTGGAGGGGTTTGTTGTCACGGATCGCGCGGTTTTGACTCAGTTCTTCCTCGAGGCCGCTCAGGACGAGGTAAAGGCGGCCGTAGAGGAATACGTATACGGTGAGGACCGTAAGCTGAGGAAGGAACATAGAGTTGGGTTGTGGTTGATGAAACTTGAGTTAAGGTGGGTGTGATATAAATTGAGTAGTAAATTTGCAATTTTAGTCGTGTATGTATGTTTCGCTGTCCTGACTTTTTCGGCCTCTTCGAATTGGTTTTTGGAATTTTCGTCCCTTTTGTTTGTAGAGAGGTGTTATAAAAAGGTCATTTTTGATTATGTTTTTTGCAAAAAAGGTTGCGATTTCGTCACTTGTGTATGCTCGGGGACCTTTTCGTAAGCTTTTTTGCAAACATGAAGGACGAAAAACTATAAAATCAATTCGATGAGGACGAAAAAGTTAAGGTAGTAAAACAATATACGACTAAAATTGCTATTTACTCTAAATTGAATTCAAAGATACAGGGATCGGTCCAATTATGATTGTCTAAAAGTGAAAAAAATCCAAATACAAGGTATTTCAAGTCCCCATGGATCTTGAATTGCTACAAAATCAGAGAATAGATTGAGAAAATTACCAGAGTACAAAAATAGAAGCCCAGCGTGGTGAAAAAACAGGACATCATGCGGAAGAAGTCGAACCGGTGGCCTAGCCTGTAAATATCACGACTCAGAGTCTGTTCCCCATTGCCGCATGCGATCTTTGCTTCGAAAAGTGAAATTTGATTGAGGCCCACATCTCTTCCTTTGCCCACTTGTATGTACTCGTGATGGGTGACATTACCTCCACGAAGTGTGGAGTTGAAACCTTCACAAGCAATATGAGCTCCCATCACAATGATTGTAATACACAATATACGTTAGGACTAAATAGAGAAAGGGATTTTTTTTTATTTTTTTTTTTATTTAAGAATATGGTGCCTGCAAAGATGTCCTCGCTTAAGTTTATGATTCTGGAAGCTTTGCTGACACCACCTCTAGTCAGGTGAAAAAGTCTATCAAACACGTCCGGATGGCCATAATGGAAACGAACCCTGAAATACCAGTAAACAATGTGAACCATAAAGATGATATACACAGGCTTTATCCTAGCCACATAGTCACAAAATATTAATAAAATAAACGTAAGTTCACTGATTTTAAATGATTAGCCAACACAGGGATCAGATCTTTTATAATACTACCGATTCTGTTCATCGCACGTATGAACCACGTATCACGTGCATCGCAGGTGCAGTTTATTACTAGTAGGTATATAAATAGATATAGATTCTGTTCTAATAAGAAAGATAACTTGGTAAAGCAAAAAATCTTTATTTGGAACACCAACTTAATTTGGACGAAGTCCAGAGAAGATTAAATTTAACGAGATATAAATGATCCAACAACTTACTTCAGTGGATTAGCCAGCAGCCTCTGGCCAATAGTCACGAAACTGTTCTCTTGGTTTGACATGAACCATGCAAGTGAAGAGACACTAGAAAGGAAGAGCAATACGTTAATAACCACCACAATTTTGAAATCCAGAACTCAAACGTGGAAAATTCTCTAACCTGCCCATGAAAATATGCTCTCTAAGCCCAAGAATCGTTGGTTTCCTTACGCCATGCCTTTTGAGAAACTCTTGCAATAGGTTTCTCATTTTGAAGGCTTCTTCCATATAGTTATCCTACAAAGAATAATGCATTCAATCATCAACGTTAAAGAATTTTGGGTACTCCAAATTATCAAAACACCTCACTATGATACCTGGTTCATATCAATTGTTTGCAAGCCTTCACCACGTGTAAAGATTATGGCATGATTTTGATTCTCTGGTTTGCCTTCACCCAATATTGCAGGTCCTGGAAGTTTTATCCGATAAATAACCTGCAAATGAAATCTTGAGTTATTTTAGAACAAACAATATCAAAATAACAATTATATCATTAAACACAACAAAAGACCAACATGCAAAGCCTCGAACAAAGATCAATTATTTTTACCTGGTCCAACTTCTGGTCTGGGTCAGATGTGTCCACAGATTTTGGCATAGCTTTCACGAGTGCTGAATAGTACACTTTCTCGACCATTTTACCAGATTTATCCCCACCCGTTTCTTCAACCTCATCAACATAAGCTACACGAACAGAGGGGTACCTGCTCGCAAAATAATGAATAGTATGAAAGACTTGAGAAATTAAAATCAAACGACACATCAACTAATCAAAATTTCATTACTTGGTCATGAGTCTCAAAATATCCGCTGCCCGTCGATCACCAGATCTTTTCTGAATTCCATACTGTTGGCATGAGACCACGTAACTGAACTTCATGTCGGCTACAGCTTGGCATTGTGTTAGCAACGAGCCTTCATTTTTCACTTGTTCCTCAGTATTCAGTTCGGCAGCCTTGTAGCCTTTCATTAAATCTGTAGCAAGAATTAACTGATATATATAATTCTACATCTCTGAAGAGAGTAAAGGATGTAGAGAGAATTGATTCCTTGAGTACCTTCTTCATTTGCCATATCAAGAAAAGCCTGCAGTTCCAAAGCTTGCCGATAATACATCATGCCTCGCACTGTAGCAGAGTAGGCAGGTCATAAACATAAACAACTCGTTAAGGGTGTGATTGGATATAAACTAGACTAGTAAAAAACTAATTAAAATTCAAATTTAACTCAACCACGTCATCCTCAATATTATCGATATAATTAAATAATATCAACCAATCATTCTTACACATAACATCAACTTGAATTCATTATTGGTCAACTCAAATCATTTTAACTAGCCCTCACTTCTAATCATTTTTCTACAACTTTACATCAAATCAACTTTAATTATTTCATTTAAATATTATTTTAATTTAAACTTAAATCCCACTAACAACTAACCATACACCCCCTTATTCAAAAGTAACTATGGTTAACAAAATACTAATAAAAAACCAATCAAATCCATATCCAATCACACCCTAAACAATGGACCTAATGTGAAAAGAATTATTAAAGAAGATAATAACCGGTTTTAGTCAAAGTTTGGCCTCTATAAGATGCCCATAAGCGTAGCTCTTCTTCCAATTTCAGGTTTCCTTTGAGATCTTCTTCACTGCTGCAACCGACCCGTTCCATAAAATTATCCCATTCATCTGCGTAATTTAAAATCATCACTCATGGCTTGAACTATTACTAAGTCATGTCATACTGAGACCACAACACAAACAAGTAACAAAAGTCAAAATAACAAACCTGGGAATATCTTTTGTAAATAGAACAAGATGGAAACACCATCTTCATTTGGCTTTTCCAGCAGGTCCATAGAGAAGAGAACCTCTTCATCGTAGTAAGGGGTCAAAATGCTGAAAAAAAAAAATTGAACAAAACAGCAAATCCAACTCCAAAATATATGAACCTTTGATGTGAAGAGGCTTACGAGAAGGAGAGCATGTTGCGGACTTTTGGAGCTACGGGCATGTCCATAAATAAAGAATTTGAAAAGAATGAAATGCGCCTCCTCGCCTCTATATTAGATGGGACATCCATAGCTGATTCCTTCACGGTCAGCAGCAGATGAAGCCTCCCAATCTGGTACAAAGTAGCCATAATTTAGGACAAATTTAGGAAACTAATCTGCCATAGATGCATCTAAATAAATTATCTTCGTAAGCTAGCATTCTTCCCTTGATATGATGATTCAGCTTAAAATTATCTTGCCTAAGTGTTGAAGAAAGTGGGACTTCAATTTAACTGACCTTCTCTTGCCACGCATCTGTTTCTTCTGTAATTGGAAAGCGAAGTGTACCAAAATACTGATACTGTTTGTCAAGAGGGGTCATCCCCTGATGCATTTCATATGATCCACCATGGCTGGACTCTAGCATACTAAAACGAGGGGGAAACAAATACGTAAACTGTCTGCAACATTAAAATGCTACGTGTTACAAGCAATTCTGACTATCATTACCTAGGAACACTGTCTTCCATAATGTCTCTGGTCACGACCTCAAGCATGTTAAGCAAGACAATCACCACTTGATCCTTGTCTTCTTTTCTATTTTCTCTCTGCAGAGTATTCATTAATTAATTACTCCCAAGCTGTCAAAAGTATCGTGTCTGGTGTAGTGACATTTTTAGAGAGGCTTACCAGATATTCTATCAGCTGCACAAATTGATCGTAGAGGTTAGGGAGAGCATTCATATTAAACTCTCGTAATAGATCACCTTCCGCTATATGATGGTCGGTTTTGGAGAAAATCTCATTTATGACACTAAAATCATCAAACAACAAGAAATTATTGGACAATTTAAATGGTGATAAATTAGTTCATCTTTTTTACTTCTTTTTGGGAGGTAAAACTTACAGCTTCTCACGTTCTCCCATAACCAGAAAGTTAATGATGTTCTTACAAGAAGCATAGCACTCGCGGATGGCACATTTCATATATATGTCAGCATTCAATCTTTTATTTAGCTCCCTATCTCTTCCGTTGCTATCCTTTGCCATATCAAGAGCTATAGGAAGCTATACAAAAAATAACCACAGATCATTTGATTTTTCAAAAGAATTATAAAAGTAAAGAGGTTTAGAGGACACCCACCTTGCTGGCTAATAAAAATGGAGGCCACTGAATAAGGTCAAGTTCGCGGTCAGCTCGATATGGCACGAGTAAAAGGTTCATTTCCCTGTTTGATTTGGCGAAAAATAAAACCAAAAAAAATAAATAAACCACTTGACAAATTGAGTATCCTTTTTAAGTTACCTGTTGTTTATTAAATCCTCCTCTCTGAAACTTTCAATTATTTTGTTCCACATCTGAGAAAACCTTGCTGCTTCCTTATCTTTATTAGATCGAATCTGCAAAGTGCAATGAATACCAATTGGCACTATAAGCTTTAATATATCCATTAGAAAAAAAGAAGATTTTTACTGAAGCAACAGGTAAAACCAGCATAATTAAAAACCTCAACAAATTTCCGGGAGAACGTGGCTTTTAGTCCCTTAGGTTTGTCATCTTTTTCTGCTGGTATCAAGCGGGCATTAAAAGCACCAGGCAGTGACTGAAAGCGGGACCTAAGCATTACCAGTGTTCGAATCTAAGGGCAGTGCAGAAACATGAACTTCATCAGCTAAAAGTGTTAGCATTCAAGTTGAATGATACTAATAAAGCAAGGGACCAAGTATGAAGTCTGTCTAAAGCAATCATACTTTTCATGCAGAAAATCATACTGTTTTCATATGCAAGATGCAAATTGTAACAATAATTTTTTATTTCAACATGACGTGGTCTCACAATATTTTTACCTCCATGCAACTAAAGAAATTTCAGTGGGGGTGTTGATAAGTTTTTTTAAGAAACATAATTAGAAAAAAAAAATGGTTCAAACAGGAACACAAACTGAAATATAGAATAGGCTTCAAGGAAATAAGAATCTCAACCTACCTCTCCAAGACGGCGAAATGCTCCATATATACCCCCAAATATTGTGGAGAAAATGGCATACCATATCTGAGTGTCCATGAAGTACACCTGGAACCAATACGTATAACAGATTCTAATATTAAAGAACTCACCAAACATGCAGATCAACACAAGAAGTATACGTGAACTTACAATAATAACAGGAGCCCAGAGAGCAATCACTACTCCAATGTTATCTTTTGCTGAAAATGTCAATGGATAAAGGTGAACAAGAAACCTCACTCGGAGTAGTATTCTCACAAATGCACCTCCAGAAATTTCAGAAAGTAAATAAACATGAACAATCTAACTACCTCGAGGGAAGAACTCATGCCACTGATATCTTCTTACAGGAACCGCCATTATTTCTTTTGTTGGACCAACAAGAGGTCTTATCTGCAACCAAGAGGACACATCAAATTCCCTAATGCATCATCAAACAATTTTGCACCACAAGCATGTAGCTAAATGAAAACACTTTCATGCAATAGTTTTCATGATTCAAACAAAAAATGGGTAGAAAAAATACCTCTACATAAAAGCTAAA